AAAAAAAAGAAAGAGGGGAACCTTGGTGGTGGACTGGCTGGTACTCACACACCCGCCTTCATACCCCGACAAAAGCAGATGCACTTTTACTTCTGACAGCTCTACCTCAAGCCGGAGAGAACTCAGCGGCGCATTCCGCGCAATCCGAGCTAACGGTGTCTTCCTCTTCTTCTCCGTCCGTTTTATTTATTTCTGTTCCCGCCGCCATTCTCGGTGACCTTCATTGCTTCGCGGGCTCTGGGCAGAAGAGTCGCTTTCTCGCCTGCCTGAGGCTCCTTTTCCTCACCCTGGGAGCCAAGGTGGCGTTGCTCCGCCCCGAGGCCCAGGGACTTCCCAGCTGCACCCTTCACCCAGGCACCCCGCGCCCTGCCTCAGCCTTCTTTCCCCCCTTTTGATTTCTTGGTGCGGGTTTTGGCTTGCAAGGCCCAGTGTGCCTCCTCTTTTTGGAGGGGCTGGGGAGCTGGTGCCGGTCGTCTTCGGGAATCATTCCCTTGGCTCTACTTGTCCCTGTCTCTCCGGGCCTCACCCGACCAAAACCAAAGACCATGGTGCACTGTGCCGGCTGCAAAAGGCCCATCCTGGACCGCTTCCTCTTGAACGTGCTGGACAGGGCCTGGCATGTCAAGTGCGTCCAGTGCTGTGAATGTAAATGCAACCTGACCGAGAAGTGCTTCTCCCGGGAAGGCAAGCTCTACTGTAAGAACGACTTCTTCCGGTGAGTACTTACCTCCCGCTTCTGCTACTCCCTCCCCTCGGACCCTTCCCATCCGGCTTCAAATCAGAGGTTAGCATGGCCCAGGCAGCAGTGTTAGGAACTGTTTCTGGAGGAGAGGACAGCCAAGTCCCTCAGGCGCCTGCCTCCTCACCAGCTGGTGCGTTGGGAGCCCGGGATAGCAGCCCTACTTAACGTTCGTGGAAAGTATGGGTCCAGGCATGGCTGCACGTGCCAGGGAAGAAAGGGCCTGAATCTGCCTCCATTCAGAAGCCCCTCACAACTTGGAAGAGATAAGATAGCCTGGGGAGGGGGGTGCCCTAACTCGTCTTTTCCCCAAGCAAGCTCTAGCAACTGCATTCTCTAGGCCTCCAGGGTTGCTTTTCCAGGAGGCTGAGTTAGAAACTCGAGCTTACTCCTAGGCATTGGTTTTTTTTGTTTTGTTTTTTTGTTTGTTTGTTTTTTTTTTGCAATTGTCTTGACCACGGAGTCCTTGGGTAGAGAGTCCCAGCCTCCTGCCCAGGCATGGGCCTGGAGACCAATCTTGCGCACCCAGGAGCCTTCTTGAAACCTAGATTTGCTTCTAAGCAACTAGACCTGGGCAAACTGCTGCACTGTAGCCTATGAAGTGCCTAGAGTAGTTTTTCTTTCTGCTCGACCTGAGGGGTTTGCAGGCAGTTCAAACCTCAGCCCAGTGCCAACGTGGGCTTCCAGACACGGGCTCCTCTTTGGAGCCCTCCCAGGAATGCCCCACCAGGGCTGCTTCCTTTCTGAGAGCCAGGAGACTCCCCTTCCTCTGTTTTAGCATTTGAATTTTCTTAAACTTGTTTAGCTTCTTCATCAACACAAACAAGTCAACAGAGAACAGCGTCAGTGCGATTTATAATTCCGCTGTTCGGTCTTGAAATCTTCCAGTTTACTCTGCTGACTTGGTCTCGGCTTTCTCTTATTTTGTAGTGACAGATCAAAATGGGGGGGTGAAGCGTTCCCCAATGCCACTCCACCATCCGTGGCTCTGCTTCACTGTGTAGGAAAGCAAAGCGCTGTGTAGGTACGCTGTTGCTGCGCCAAGGCTGAGCTTCCGAGCCTCCGCCGCTGCACACGGTTTTCTCTGCAAAGACTGTTCTTGAGCAGCCGAGTGGCGAGCCCTACCCGCTTGCAGCGGGCCCCTAAAACCTGGCTTTCCGCAAAGCTCCGCAGGGCGTCTAAAGCCGGCGCAGCCGCTCTTCGGCTCCTGCTTGCTCCAATCTGCCAGCTTTGGGCACTAACGTGGCAGCAGCCCAGCTATCGCTAACAGGCTGCGTGCAGCGGTGTTTGTTTACCCTCGGGCGGGCCGACCTTGCTGACCCTTCGCCTGTGCGTGGTACTTTTGTGGTGAGAGAGGCGACCCTAGGAGAGAAAAGGCGGCATTTAGGGCGCGTTTATATGGCGCTCTAATTCAAATTTGACTTCTTTAAATATAATTGGGAAATAAATGTACCGTCTTCAGTACCACTCTTGCTGCCGCCTTTTTCAGCGAGGCTTTTTTCAAAACCTGGGATAACTTCTGGAGTGAGGCTGGGTCAGGCGGCAGTTTGGGCCCCTCGCTCTAACGGTGTGCATTTCCTCTCTCACTTTCCCCGGTGCCCCTCGCTCTCTCTTCCTGCCTTCTCACCTGCTTAATCGGCTTTTGCCTCTCTTTTTGGCACTTATCTCTCATTTCCTTCTCACTCCCTTCTTTCTTCCTCCATTTACTTCTCCTGTCTTGTCTCCCCGTGCCTCTTACCACCCTCTACCTCCTACAGATGTTTTGGTACAAAATGCGCGGGCTGCGCGCAGGGCATCTCCCCTAGCGACCTGGTGCGGAGGGCGCGAAGCAAAGTGTTTCACTTGAACTGCTTTACCTGCATGATGTGTAACAAGCAGCTTTCCACCGGTGAGGAGCTCTACATCATAGATGAAAACAAGTTCGTCTGCAAAGAGGATTACCTAAGTAACAGCAGTGTCGCCAAAGAGAACAGCCTCCACTCTGGTGAGGCCGAGATTCCCCGCTGGCTCCGGGAGGGTGGGTCCTTCGGGAAGAAGGCCAGCCACAGCCCCTGCTCACCTGTCCCTTCCTTCTCCCCAGCAACCACGGGCAGTGACCCCAGTTTGTCTCCAGATTCCCAAGACCCATCGCAGGACGATGCCAAGGACTCGGAGAGTGCAAATGTGTCTGACAAGGAAGGGGGCAGCAATGAAAATGATGACCAGAACTTGGGCGCCAAGCGGCGGGGGCCTCGCACCACCATCAAAGCCAAGCAGCTGGAGACACTGAAGGCTGCTTTCGCAGCTACACCCAAGCCCACTCGGCACATCCGGGAGCAGCTGGCGCAAGAGACCGGTCTCAACATGCGCGTCATCCAGGTCAGAGCCTTGGCGTGCCACTCTCTCCCAGGGGACCACAGGCCATTCAGAAGGCCCAGTCCAAGCCTGGGACTGCCTGGACTTGGGGGCAGGGAGTCTGGTGGAGAGCGGTGTGTGTGTGGGGAGAAACACCTCCTGTTGCCTGGAGCTGCTGGAAGTCCCTGGAGTAGCCCAACAGAGGTGACAGTAGAGATTCAGAAGGGGTGGGGGAAGCTCTGTGGGGAGCTGCTCATGAAGCTGGAGGCTGTGCCCAATACCACAGAGAAAGTTATATACCTCTTTGTACACACAGCCGGCCAATCCCACCCCACCCTTGTAAGGAAGGAGCAGAGTAGTCACTGCGGGTGCCAGAGTCAATCAGTTCCTTCGGCTTCTATACACGATCTCCTTCTAAATTCTCAATCCCAACTTTGTGGGACTCTTGCCCCAGCAACACAAGCCCCAGATCAGAGACTTGCCATCCAAAGGTTGCTGGGGTGTCCTGGATCAAAGGGAAGGTGGTTGAGTGGGCAGTCAGGCTCTGCCTGGGTGCCATCCCTGGTTGGATGAGGAGGAGGGGCCATCTGGAGGCAGCTGGGCCTGTGCTTTGGGAAGAGGCGAGACTTTGTGAGGTGTCCCCAGCAAAGTGCCTGGAGGCTCTGCCAGGTTGTAGGTGGGAGGCTCAGTGTGCCTTTGCCAGGATGCAAGGGGCTTACAGAGGGAGTGAGGCTGTGAGATCTCCAGGACCCTGTTCAAACTTGTGCACGTAAGTGTAGAATTGTGTGCCAGAGTCACAATTGCCATTAGGTCACTATCTGTGAGAGGCTAGGAGATTGTGTGTAGGTGTGAAAGGATTGTGGGTTTTGGTGTCCCACCCTTGGGAAACAGTTTCAGCAGGAGAATTTCTGTGTCGTCACTATCCTGGGGTTGGGGAGTAGTCACTGCAAGGGAAGCTGTGTTTGTGACATTGCTTTGGAGGTGTTGTGTCTGTATGTACAGCCCAAGAAGCTGTAACTGACCATTTGGCTGTTTGGCTCCTTCTTTCGGACAAGGCAGCCTGTCTAGGTCCCTCTTTCAAGGAAGGGAATTCTGCCTACCCTCGGATTAGGGTCTTACCTGAGCAGTCAGTCCTATCCAGGGACCTCATCACCACTTCCGACCCCCCCCCCGCCCCCGGCCAGCGTGAATGAATGAAGGGCTGGGCTCCAGATGAACACCCAGGCTGGGGAGTGGAGTCCTGGTGGCCTCACCCCGCTTTGGCGTGTGTGCTTCAGGTGTGGTTCCAGAACCGGCGCTCCAAGGAACGGAGAATGAAGCAGCTGAGTGCGCTGGGTGCCCGGCGCCACGCCTTCTTCCGCAGTCCGCGCCGGATGAGGCCGCTCGTGGACCGCCTGGAGCCTGGCGAGCTCATCCCTAACGGCCCCTTCTCCTTCTATGGAGGTGGGTGCGCTTGGCGGGGCGCGCGGCCAGGTCGGGACGGGCTTCGCTGGAAGCGGGTGGCAGTTCGGGGAGAGCCCTTGGCTCTCTGTAGAGAAGTGATGAGTCCGAGAGAGTAGGGAGAAGGCTGGGGAGGTGGTGAGACCTACGACCAGGCTCCGGACATTGGGTGAGGAGGGTGGGCAGGTAGGGAGCAACTGCTGTTTTGCACAAAGCCTGCTCCCTGCTCCCAGACTCAAGGCGCGCCCCGCAAACAGCTCGTTATCTGCGTCGCCCCCGTAATTACCGTCAGTGCCTCTCTCGGCGCGCCTTTCCCACCCTTTGGGTCCGGCCCTACCCACTGGGACCCCGCCCTGACATCCTCCTCCCCGCCGACCTGCAGATTACCAGAGCGAGTACTACGGCCCCGGCAGCAACTACGACTTCTTCCCGCAAGGCCCGCCGTCCTCGCAGGCCCAGACACCCGTGGACCTTCCCTTCGTGCCGTCGTCCGGGCCCTCCGGGACGCCCCTGGGCGGCCTGGAGCACCCGCTGCCCGGCCACCACCCATCCAGCGAG